GGAAAACCCAATAGTGTAGAATATCACAACGATATATGGTACTAATAACTCGTAGATATTGTGTTTCTGTAATACCTGTAAATTACAACTGAGAAACAATTATAGTTGCATCAACACCCAATTATTTTATTTTCAAATTACAGGGTGTCTTCTTGGCGTAAATAAGAAGAAGGTAGCATGACTGCTGCCCCGAGCAACCAAAAAGATACAATGTTAGGGCCAAGATACCTGGGATCAGGAGAATATTTGAAAACTTATTAGACCACTGTTATGTTAGTGCTGTTCTGTCTAGGTTCCTGCAGGCACAATACAAAGTCACAGTTAGTTCTGAGTATGGCACTGGAATTAGACATGTCTAGGATGCACTGCTTACAATCTTGCAGGCCTTTCATAAAACCCATGGTGCTGACTCCTACGCCTCGCTTCTACAAGGGGTAGCGGAGCTCACGGATGGTCCAGAGGGGTCGGCATGGGAGACCTTTCAGGTAGTGGAGGAACAAATATAGAGAGGGCCCTGGTGCAAAAACATTTTTGGGGCCCTCTCCAGCGCAAGAATGGCGTACAGATAGATTGCGAGGTTGTATTTGTGAGCAGTGTTTGTGTATTCGAATATAAGCGTGTTTCTGTATAGAGCATGTGTGTGCATATAGGGGTGTATTTTGTATGTAATGTTTGCTTTTAAATGCAGGTGTGTAGGGTTTTTGTTTCCATTTAACTCTAGCATTTTTAATACAGAGTGTGTGTTTGTTTGTAATGATTGCATTTGCGTGCAGGGTTGTGTTTGGATGTAGTGTTGTATAATAAATGAGGATGTAAATTGTGTGTAGTATTGGTGTTTGAGTGAAGGAGTGTGTTTGTATATATTTTTTCTATTTGAATTTAAGAGGTGCGTTTGTATGTAATGCTTTCATGGGTGTGTTTGTTTGCTGTATTGGTGTTGGTGTGATTGCTGAGATGTATGCACATACATACGTACACATATTTTCATACACATTAACACACACATAAACACACTGACACATACACACATATAGACACAAAGAAACACATACCTGGACATATGCACACATCGAGACACATACACACACCTTGACACAGACACCCATACTGGTATATACACACACTCCGATACACACAGTGACACATACACCGATACACACACACCTCAACACACAGATATACAAAGATACACACACTGACACCTCTGTAGGGGCCCACTAACAAAGCCCCCCCTTGGATTATCCCAGTCCCCCACCAGGTTGCCATGCACTCTCTGCACAATACCTACCTTATGAATCAGGGTAAAATCGAGATGTTTCCCGCTTAGTTGCCTACACAAGATGGCAGCAACCCCTCTACAAGTCAAGCAGGGCCTGTACCCACCTTTGGGGCATCACTGCGACTTTGTGTAAAGAGCACTAAAACGCCTAGACAACATATTTCAGCACTTCTGGATATCGCTGCATGACCGTGCACAAGCTGTCTTGCAGGAGAAGCGGAGAGACCCAGCGAGTACCATATAGCCGCGGAGCATGGGCCCACCTCAGGGCGATTCTGATGTTCCAGTGCCTCATTATTTTGCAGCCCACGCACCCAGGCTGAGAGCCTCTCGCACCCACTACATCACGTGCACCACCTAGACCCTCTGGGTACCTCCGAAGGGGTGAGGACTTGGTTCCCACTATTGCCCAAGTCCGTGGACTGATGATACAGGCACTCATATAGGCTTGGGGCTGGAGGAGCACCCCGCTCTGGTGCGCCTCTGCAACTGCTCACCTAGACTCCTCTCCCTTCACATCCACATTCCCGCTTATGGGGATAGGCTGACCCGACATCAAGGTCCTCTGCGTCAGAAAGAATGTATAGAAGGCGACTGTCTGCTACATCCCGTTACATGACATATGTCCTGTTACTAATGCTCTCTCTCTTGCTGCTACCTCCTGCTCTCAGCCAGATCAGCAAAATACACCCTCAACACAGCAGAGGCGGGGGGGACTAGGGAAACCTGACAAACTCGGACCTGCATATACAACACCAAGGAGCAAGGCCTGGGAACAAAGCTATGGGATTTTACACAGCCCCTCCAGATGGCAACTCCCACCACTCAGGTGCAGGGGAACAACTGCAGCCTCTACAGCACTTCTACATACCTGCCAGAAACCCCCTTCAAGAGCCCAGCAATCCTCCCATAAACTGGGAATCAGGAGAAAGAGCTAGAGAGCTCAGACTGTCGTACCGGCACAGGCATTCTCCCAGTTCACGTATATTGCGGTTGACTCCTGTCACATACCGTCAACTGATGTAGTTTACTTTTATCGCCCACACAAAGCTCTACAGTCTAACATGATTAACAGCATTTGTCCTGTCTATTTATCTGCTTTTCTAGTTTGGCATACATCTGTCATTGCTTACTACTTAGTATATCATGCACATGCGCTTTGACAGATAGTTTATCCTGCTTGTAACAGCTCAACTTGCATGTTATCTCTTTAACAAGAAAACAAACAAACAAAAAAGAATGCAGAAATCTCTGACATAAGCTGATCATCTTCATTGTCATGTATGGTTTAACATTTTAACACTCATGTCTCTATAAGCCTGTACATGTATTTCTGCATCACAAAAATAAAGAATAAAAAAAAAAAAAAAACTTTTGTGAAGCACCATGGTGCTGAGTACAGACCAAAAAAGATAATGTAAACTGGTATGCCAGACCTTTCCATAGGAAGTGGAGGAACCAGCACCTCTGAAGGTCTACTGGGACCCACTGATATGTGTCCTTCTCGACGAGTGAACCAATTGCCCAGTTTTAGCAGGTCCTGCTGTAGATTGATACCCTTTATCTTGAAGTGTCTGTACACCACAAAAGCATTGAGTTGACAAAGATTGATACCTAGGCAGAAGTCTCAGGTTTTCTTCTTCATTAAGAATATGTTGCTGAAAAACCCACCTTCATTCATGGCACATAGAACTGCACCTCTTGCGAACAGCGACCGTATTTCGTAGTCTATTAGGGATTGTAGATCAACCATGACTATATGGGCCCGAGGCAAAGATACCAGATTTAGTGTAGACTGAAACTCTATTGTATAGCCAAGGCCTGTCTACGGTATCCATGTGTCTGTGGATAGATCCTGCCATCCATGGAGAAAATGAGAGCAAGAGAGTGTAAATCTCACCATTTGGCAGTCTGGCACAACTTCCTCTGACTCTTTCCGAACATTAAGAGGAGAATGTTAGCGTACTGTTACTTGGGAAGAAGGAGGTGGTGTGGTAACCTCCAAGGCCTGTAGGCCAGAAGCAGCTGGTGGCATGTCCCACAGCCAACCCGCCCTCCCAAAAATATCACAAGACACTGTTGGGGTGAATACTCTCTGCTTAGATAATTGGGCCTTGTTTAAAGTGATGGAAAGGTTGACATGCTTCTGAAGCTCTTTTATAAATGGCTCACCAAACAAGAGCCCCTTTGCTAGTGGTCCTAATTCCTTTGACCCCAAGCTGGAGAGCTTTGGACAGTTCAAAACAGGGCCACTTTTCTCCGCTCAGTACAAAGTGCCACATTGACATTTCCTAATTATAACTATTTTATTATTTATAAAGCGCCAACAAATTCCACAGCGCTGTACAGATAGAGCATAAGGATCAAATTCCTAATGATAACTGGGTCTAGAGAGGTACCATGGGAATGAGCATCGTCTGCCAGGAGTAAAATCTTAACAAGCAGACTGAGCACATCCAAAAGCTTGTCCTTGGTGAGCTTCAAGCTCTTTTCGATGCCCTTCCACGGGTCCCTGCAGGTCCTGGATAGAAATATGGACACAGTAGAGTCAAATTCCGGCATCGCAGTCAGAAATGGATAAACTGCACCAGGTGATCTGGAAGGGACCACTCCAAGAATCTAGGATGATAATTGGTCCTCGGACCGAACAGCAACTCACCAGTGGCGTCCAAGAAAATCTTTGCGACATCACCCTGAGCAGCAACTTTGAAGTCCCGTTTGGCATGCATGTCCTCTACTACCGATTCCCTCACATATGGTGAATCCTCAGGGGTTCACCCTGCTGACTTTCTTCCTCATCTGAGGCAGAGTGGTCTGCCTGCCACTCATCCAGAATGGACAATGGGGGGGAGGGGGTGGAGAGGTAGAGAAACATCTTACTTGTCTGATAAGTGGGCTTGTGCTGACTTGCACTGGTGCATTTCCCATGGGTACACTGGGGTCTTTTGCGGTAGTGAATTCAGCATCTGTACGGAGATGAAGTAAACAGTAATGGCACAGTCACAGCTAACAGCACAATCACTGTAACAGAGACAGTAGTAACATAAGAGGTGGGCATAGAAGCTGGGGCTCACCTAGAGTATGTGGTATGTAATGAATCCTCCAATCTATAGGACCAAGGGAGGCAATGGGCACAGACAAAGTAGGCCAAATAGAGCTGTATGTGTAACCAGTCTGTCAATCTCTTAGTCCCTCAGTGACTGGTAGGGATGTTAAAGTAAAGGAGGCTCACCCCTAGGCAGAATATGAAAAATACCCCTATAAGGGTATTTAAAAGTAGTCAGTAGCCACATGTGAAGTGACAGTAGCTGTGAAAGGCACCAAGAGGGCTCACCCCAATCCACTAAGTTGATAAATAAAGCAGGAGATTAACCACCTGGTATAGAAACCCTGCATGCAACACACATACCACTAAGTGCCAATATACATACATCTAGGAGGCTCACCCCAATCAGGTATTCTATGTGATGCCTTGAGATTTAGTGACACACAATCCACCAATAGCAAGGGGGGCTCACCCCTAGCACACTATATCCCCTGGTTCACAACTAGTATTATAATGGGTGGCTTACAATATTACGATAAAATAGAAAATGTCAATTATACAGCATCACGATGAATACCTAACGTGTACTATGTGGTACGTTGAGAGACGAAATCCTGACTCCAACGTGGAGCCCGATATGGTGACAAGAATCCATTATGGCCGCAATGGATCTCGCAAGTACACACAAGATCAAAGATGGCCACCACAAGTGCGCATGGACCAACCAGAAACATCCTCTTGCAGGCATTGGAAGGCCACAATAAACCGGTGAAACAAAACCTTACGGTTCCCTAGAGAGGTGGGGGAATTGAGGAAAGAACAAGCACGCTAAAAAAGGATAGGAAGAGAAGAGCACCAAACTGAATAGAAAGAAAAAGACAGAAAAGGAAAATGCATGACATGTATCTGGGAAAATAAACCACCAAAACAGTAATGACATAGAATATTAATAAAACCAAAGCCACCACAAGTAATGCAGGAGACCGTGGTACTCTGACCTGTGATGATGAGAAGCAGCAAAGAAAGAGAAGGTCCTAAGGAAACATAGGATTTATATATTGTTTTTTCTCTGTAATCTGATTGGTTGATCATTCTCGAATAACGTGTGCTGTCGTGGGGTACTAGTAAAGGTAGACTTAAGCAAATATGAAGTCTCCTGTCATGTAGTAAACTATAACATGGAAACAAGTTATGTAGCTGTAAGCAGGAGCTAATTCCCCAAAAGGCCAGGCCTCTATATTTCTTCAATCGTCTACATCACGTTCTAGATGAAGACGAAATTGAAAAAGCCATGAATTATACAATTATCAGTGTACTAAATCTTATAAACATGTTTAAAATTTACTCATGTTTCTTCGATCCCCTAGAATAACTGGTTTGGTTATTATTTTACAGTGGTGTATGTTGGAAGCTTCTGTCGATAGCTTTGAAATGTTTTATAAAACTGGTTGTGTGCCAGATGCGAAGGACATGAATCATGCAATGACCTTGTAATCTCATACCATAGCTGGCAAATAAATACTTGATTCTCAGACCATTACCTCTCCATTGTACTGTTGGGGTTAATGTTTTAACAGCTGATAACTCAATTGCATTCCTTTTTTTCAGGCATTACTCGGTGCTCTATCTTTTAGAAGGAAAAAAAAAGACCATTTATGGATAAAAGAGCCATGCAGAACAAATAGGATAAGTTGGTAACTTTGACATCTACATACATGCAACATGAAAATAGAATAAAACCTTTGAACCAATCTGCTACATGTTTGCAGATAACCTTTCAAAATGACCTAGGTCTTTTCTTAGAAGTCCATTATGTTAGGACATTGTCCGTGTCAGGAAGGTGACTGATTTCGGTGTCTAATATTTCAAAACACTTGCAGTTCAAAACGGTAAAATAAAAAAATAAATAAAATTAGCTTGAATTATGTGGGGTCTCCAATGTAGATGCAACACAATTATTCATTACTATACTATTTTATTAAAACAGACATTGTATGCAATTATGGCTTGTGCTATTCAAACTATATTTGGATTGGTCTGTAGATCTTTATTATTTATATGGTGTCTGGCCATATCACTGAATATCTCTGCTGCATATAACTGAAAAAAAATAAAAAAATGTAAAGGCTTCATGTGACTCATTGGACTACAGTTACGATGCAACACATTGATAGACAATGTTATAACAAGCATTGTGGAAAACGAAGAACACAGTAATTATCTGGAATGTTACAGTAAGTGCATCCAGGCTGGCTGTATTCCACTGATAAATACAGAAAATGGATAAGCGCTAAAAATCTAATAAGATGTATAAGATAAGGTAAATAGTATATCCCAGTGCGTCTAAACCAGTGGTAGTCAACCTTTTTCTACCTACCGCCCACTAATGCATCTTTCTTGATGGAAAAATTTCCTTACCGCCCACCAGTTTTCGCGCAAGCGCGGAATATTTTTTAGAAAGGAGGTTGTTTTAAAAAAAATAAATAAATGTACGTACATTTATCTTTTTATTTCTACTTTATGCATGTTTATAATGTTTTTAACTTTATAAAGTTTAATTAGAAAACAATAAAGTAAATTGAAATTAGCTTTACTAGTGAGATCCTTGAGGCTGATGCTGCGAGACTAAATATTTGATATCTGGTTCGATTTTCGTAAGGAACAAACGAAGGTCTCCTCTTTCGGTGATATTCAGACGGTTTCTCTGTTTGCTCATAATATGATTAACAGCACTAAAGCCTGATTCTACAAGATATGTGGTAGGGAAAGGTATCAATAAATTGAACATCATTTTCCACATATTTGGATATAACGCAGGCATTTTTTTATTTTGCCAGAGTTTTTGGTATCCACCACTGCCAAAATTACATTTACTCTCTTCGTCATATTTAAGTTCTAATAGTTCTTCTTGGCAAGTTATATCAACTTCAGCAACATTTGCTGTAAAAGGATTTATCATCCAGTCATGCACCTTTAAGTTCAAAATATCTTGAAATCGTTTTTCCATATCCAATTTGAGTTCCTTGAGGTGACTACTGAACCTTTCAATATCCCCCGGACTTACATCATTGTTTATAGAGGACAATTCAGGAAACTGATGAAATTCTCTCTTGAAAATATTATGACGGAGAAGATCAAGCTTTTCGATAAATAATGACACAATATTTTTGCAACTTATAAGAGTTATATTGGCTCCTTGAAGCTGCAAATTAATGTCATTAAATCTCTTGAAAATGTCTGCCAAATAAAAGGCATCATTCTTTACGTTTTTTAACTGTTCATAGAGACCAGTCTCATTATCACTTTCAAAAAACTGTACGACACTATCAAATAATGCAACAAAACGAGTCAAGCATGTACCCTTTGAGAGCCATCGAACTTCTGTATGTAAAAGTAACCTAATAAACTGCTCGTTATTGTCCTGGCACAGCTGTCGAAACATTCTATCACACTTGGCATTAGATTTTATCTTATTTACAGCTTTAATTATAATACTTAATGATGAATGGAGACTTGTACTTAAATGTTTTCCTACAATATGTTGTCTGTGTACAACACAATGAATACACAAAACGCTTGGCACTTCTTCCTTCAAGTAAGCAACAAACCCACGATAGCGGCCTACCATTGATGGTGCTCCGTCAGTAGCACATGCAACAATATTGTTCAAGGGTATATTGTTTTTTGCAAAGTATGATTTCACAGCATTAAATATTGATAATCCTTTTGTATCTGTAATCAGATTGACAGTGAATAGCATTTCTTCTTGCAATGTATTGTTTTCATCAAGGTACCGTACATATGTCATCAGTAGAGCATTATTATCTGCAATGACAGACTCATCCAATTGTATAGAAAATGACGAATTTTGGAGAATACCTATAAGTTTATTTTCAACATTAGCCGCCATTTCATCAATGCGTCTCTTTACTGTGTTATCGCTAAGGGGCAATGTTTTTAAAACTTCAGGTATATCCTGATGCATTACTGTTGAGATAAATTCTTTGATAGAGGGTATTATCAAAGTTTCTCCAATATTATGGCTTTTACCACTTTTTGCAATTAAGTGTGATATACGATAAGCTGCAGTTAATCCATCCTCATTCTTTGCATGTTGTTTTTGAAAGGATGTAGCTATTGTTGAACGATTTTGAAATCTTTTATAGATTTCTTGAAAATATTCAATGGGCTTATCTTTATCTTGCGAATGCTTTGTAGTAAGATGTTCTCGCAATCGACTTGGCTTCATTGCTTCATTAGATAATGTCTTGTGGCACAGTAAACACATTGGAAGCTGTTTATTTGTAACAGATTCAATGAAACCCATCTTCAGATACTCTGGTAAATAGCCACGAGCGTATTTCTTTTTTTCAGACATGGGTTCTAAATTTGTTTCACAATTTAACAACTACTTTTACTCTTACGTTTTGATCTGCACTCCACACAGTGCTTTTTTCCCTCCTCTTTTCCCTTTTATTACTAACACCAAAAACAATGCTGTATTAGGTGCCAATTTTTATTAATGTCACCATCAAAAGAAATTCCTTTTCCTGCCTGCTTCTTTACCTTCCTTATAGTATATCACTATATTAAGGATCTCATTTTCCTTTTTTTTATTTTCTCCTTCCCTTACTTATTTTTTTCTTTTATTTTATAAGATAACAAAACTTAATTTATGAGCCAGACTAAACACTGCTTACTCTCCTCCTTTATTTTATCCCCTTTTTTCTATTTTTCTTCCTTTTTTTATCTTTTCCTTTTTATCTCCTTTCTTTTACCTTCCTGAGCGACAAAAGTAAGGCTGAGCTAGTTAGCCCACTTATTATTATTAGCCAACAATTCTCTTTCTCTCTTTGCCCTTAACTTTTCTTTTTCAACTCCTCTGCTCCGTTTCAGCCTGCTTCTGCCTGTCCCTGCTATCAGTTTCCACTCCTCCCCTAAACAATTCTCTTTCTCCTGCCTATAACTTTTCTTTTTCAACTCCTCTGCTCTGTTTCAGCCTGCTTCTGCCTGTCCCTGCTATCAGTTTCCACTCCTCCCCTAAACAATTCTCTTTCTCCTGCCTATAACTTTTCTTTTTCAACTCCTCTGCTCTGTTTCAGCCTGCTTCTGCCTGTCCCTGCTATCAGTTTCCACTCCTCCCCTAAACAATTCTCTTTCTCCTGCCTATAACTTTTCTTTTTCAACTCCTCTGCTCCGTTTCAGCCTGCTTCTGCCTGTCCCTGCTATCAGTTTCAACTCCTCCCCTTCCTCTTCCCACGTGTTTGCGTGCGCTCGCTCCCGCCCGACAACTTCTCACACAAAAGGAGGTTGACTGATGTGTGCGCTCGCGCCCGCCTGCACCGCCCGCCCACTCGCTCGCGTTGGTTTCTTGATGTGTGCGCTCGCTCGCGCGCCCGCTCGCTCGCGCGCCCGCCCGCTCGCGCGCTCGCTCAAAAGGAGGTTTTAACCTCCAAAGTCCCTACCGCCCACCTGGAATCCCAAAACGCCCACTAGTGGGCGGTAGGGACCAGGTTGACGACCCATGGTCTAAACACACCCCAGTGTTAGGTCACCAAAAAATACTTACCATATATACTCGAGTATAAGCAGAGTTTTTCGGCACATTTTTTTGTGCTGAAAAAGCCCCACTCGGCTTATACTCGAGTCAGTGTCTGTACAAGCCCGGCGGTCCTGTTTGGGGCCGGCAGGAAGCATTTACTTACCTTT